CTTCTCGGATGGCCTCCGGCCTTCTGAGAGGCTTCGTGTGTTCTCGGGGAAGGCTTCCCCAACCCCCGACGCCATGATTTTTCATGACGCGACCCCCAGAGGTCCAGACCCATTGCCCAGGACTGGCTTCTCATCCTCAGTCGCTTTTAGGCGGCCACGAGGCCCAGCAAGGGCCCCCAGGGCCGAAAGTGGAGGAACACCTCCCGTCGTGGTCCTGCTCGTGCCGCGAGGGGGGTCCGGCGCAGTGAGAGGACCTTCGCAGCAGGCGGGGAGGGGGCCTCCGAGCCTTCCGGGAGGGCCCGCCCTGCCTCGCTTCCCCACCCGGGCTCGCCGCCGACCGCCTGCTCTGCGCTGGCAGACGGCGCGCCTCGCTCCCCCGAGGGAGGGAGGTCTCCTGGGAGCTGTGCAGCCCCCGTCCGCACGAGGGCGGCATCCGAGCCCTGCCCCCGCCAGCCATGCTCGGTGGCAAGTCCTCCTCCTCCTCCTCCTCCTCCTCCTCCTCCTCCTCCTCCTCCTCCTCCTCCTCCTCCTCCTCCGCCTCCGCCTCCGCCTCCGCCACCCGCCGCACGTTCTCTGGCGGGGTGGGCTCCTGTCAGACATGCGTGGGCGATTCGCGGTCTGAGCATCCCCCCAGGAGCCGGTCGCCCCAATCGCTTCGGTGGCAACTCATGGGAGCCTTCCATACCATCTTGTCGGCTCCTGCGAACCGACACGAGTCGACGCCAATCGATGCCGAGTCGACGCCAGTGGACGCTAGCCGACGCTGGATCAGCGCTATCTCATCGACTCCCAGACGCCAACCGACGCTAGAGACGGAGTTGAGAGTGTACACGCGGCTCCCATGATTTGCTGCTGAAGCCATGGGTCCTGCGAGTCGACACGAGTCGACGCTAATCGACGCTGAGCCGACGCTAATGGATGCTAAACGACGCTATCTCATCGACTCCCAGACGTCAACCGACGCTAAAGACGGAGTTGAGAGGGTACACGCGGCTCCCATGATTCGCTGCTGAAGCCATGGGTTCTCTGGAATCGCTGGGAGGCGAGGGTCGGGCTCGGCTCTCGCCAAGTGCTCGACGAGTTCCGAATCCTGCAGTTAGGTTGGGCATGTCCCCCTCTACAGGGGGGATTTTGGACGACGACTTGAACATAGCAAACAAACCCAACAATGATGCAAGCGTGCTCAACAAATCCGTACGTTCTTGACTATGTTATCATATTCCTCCTGTAGAAGGACAGGCCCGACTTAATCCTACAGTCAGGCCGTATCAGAAGGATGCGCGGTAAGGATCCAAGGGCCTTGGAGGGCCATTTTGACGTTTCTCGAACGAGGTTGGCCAGCAAAAGTCACTTAGGATGGGCCGAAGGGGCAAGGATGCAGGGGTGCCGTTGGGAAAGTTGACCATCCTTACTCTGCGGGTCGACTGTACCCCTGCCTCCCATCGAGTTGCCTGAATCGTTGCTCGGCTAAAGCAGGGTTCGGATTTCACCGCCGACCCCCTCTCCTCCACGCGCTGCGGGCCGGCGGCGCAGGCGGCTAAAAGATTCGCCAGAATCAAAGACTTGCGGTGCATTAAAAGCCTACACACGGGTCGCGCGCGCTGTGAAAATGCCCTCCCCCACCCCTCCTGGGGCTGTCGGGCAGCAGCTAAAATCGGCCAGGAGCAACTCGGCCAGGCAGAACTCGGCGAAGCTGAATCCGGCCTGGGCCGAGTTCAGCCTGGCCCAGTTCAGCTGGTCGAATCCAGCCTGGCCAGTATTCGCCTGCCAGAATCTCTCCCTTGTCCTCGCCAGCCCGCGCGCAGGTGCGGGCGGGGCCAAACGTAAAACAACCTCTGCAGGAGAAAAACGGCCGCGAGCGAGGAGGACAAATGAGAAGGGGCGGGCCTTCTCCGGAGGCTCGGACGTCCCGCGGCCTTCTGAGAAGTTTTCTGAGCCTTCCCGAAGACACAACACAAGCTTCTCGGAAGGCGAGACGGCTTCTGAGAAGTCCCGCCGCCTTGCGACGAGATCTATACATATCCACTGCTCCCTGGTCAGGCCCATCCTGAACCCAGCAGCTGCGCATACGCCCTCCTGGCCAAGCCAGGAGGGCGTGGCGTATACACCGAAGGCGGGTCCAGGATGGGCGTCGCCGCTAGGAAGCAGCGTATGCGTATGAATCTCGACGCCCCAGCTCATGCCCACCCCCCCGCTCGCCGCCGAGGAAAAAACGGCCTCGCTCCTGCAGTGGCGCACGGGGTGAGACACGCCAGGCCAGGCCTCGGCATGGAAAACGCCGCCCGCTGCCGGAGATGGCTGGCGCCTCTCCTGCCGCTCCCGCCGCCCCCCGCCTCGGCCGCGCCCCGCCGCTGCCCGTCGTCGTGGTCGTCGTCGTCGCCGTCGTCGTCGTCGTCGTCGTCGTCGTGCTCCTCTTTCCAGCGACACCCCCTCCACAGGGCGAACACAGCTAGGCCATACTAGAGTTTTCAACGCAGCTCAGCTCCAGTCGAGGGGGAGTATAGCACCGAGCTGGCCTGACGAGAGCTCGATCCATCGATCGATCCCCCTTCTCGCCTTCCTCTCTCTGCTCCTCCCCTTTCTACCCCATCTCCTGCCCCGGAACACGGAGCAATGCCCAACAGCAGAGGTTGTCTCTGACCGCAAGCCGACAGCGGCTGGTGTCCAACAGGCGACACTCGTCTCCAGTGGGTACCATCATCGACGACACCGACTGGGAGCCCGCTCGAAGGTAAGCATGAGGCGCTGTCGTTGCTCGCCCCCATGCCTTCCGTCCCCACTTCGGTCCTCCGGGGCCATCTCCCCCCCGCAGCCCTGCCCGCAAGGACAAGCATGACGAAGTCCTGTACGATCTTCAGAAAGAGGACCAGAGAGCAAACGTCAACGTCCATTGGTACACCGGAGAACCTCCAAAGCGACGCAGGCAACACACCGAGGGCCAGCACGGGCTGCGTGCTGCATCGCTGGAGCTGGACGGGGTAAGCGCAGCCGGGGCGAGCTGGAAACCAGAGCGTCGGCAGAAACATCCAGGCTCGCAGGTCTGCACGGAATGTTCTCAGGTCGGCTCAGGACCTCCCCCCTGGCGCCCAGAGCCGCCAGCGGGGAACCAGCTCGCGGACCTCCGAGGTGTTAGGCTTTCTCCCTCGACCACAGCGCCCTGAGGGTCCATGAAAACGAAGAGGGGAACGGCGAGAAGTGAGGGCAACTGAGCTGCCCCGATGCCCAACACGCAACGCGTAGCGTGGTGCCACGGAGCTCACCACGTAGACTCAAAACGTAGGTCTGGCGGGATGCGTTCGCCAAAACGTGGACCACCACTTGCAAAGCCAACGCGCAGCGTGTGAACACGGACGTCTTGAACGCGGCATCTGTTGCGATTTGCAACGGGCGTATCAGGCCAGCTAACGAGGGGAAGCGATACGGGGTACTGGCTCAGGGAAGAGACCATGGTGATTGAATCGGCGACACGTCGCCGAGAGATCGACGATAGGTTCCGATGGCGAAGCCGCACGTTCCTGGGCGGGGATGCGCGGGCGATCGGGGGTCGGTGCGCCCCAACCTCTGGGCCGTCCCCCGTACCCCTGTCGTTGCCTCCTGGCTTTCGGGTCACAGCTCCGCCCTCGTGTGGCCGTTCGGGACGCTCCCAGCAACCCCGGGAACACTCTCGGCGAGGCGCAGCTGCTGGAGAGTACCGCCGAGAACCGACGGGAGCGCCCGAAACCCTTCGAACAGCCAACTTTGGGGTCTCCTGGGGACCTCTCGGGGCGGAAGGCTCGAATCGTCGGCTCGTGTTCCCCCTCCCTCTCTTGGGCCCCTCTTGGGGCCGTCCTCAAGCCCTCTTATGCTGTCTTGGGCGCCTCTTGGGCCGTTTTGGGGCCCTCTTGGGCCGTCTTGGTGGCCTCCTGAGGGCCTCTTTGGGCGATGTTGCAGGCTTCAGCCCGCGAACCTCGAAGGGGTAGGGCTCGCAAGTGGTCGCAGACTTCTCTCGCGCGTTTCTGCAAGCGACTGCCACCATCGAGCCCACCCGTCTGCTACTCCAGGTGAGCTCGCCTAAGCGTGCCCCAGCTCAGCGCTGCACGACGGTGTCGTCACCTCGCCGCCGGCGGAAAGAGTGGTCACAGATGGGCAGTTCCCGATCACCGTGCCTCTGCGTGAGTTGGAGTGCCCCAAACTCTGAGAGGTAAAGGTTGTTGTACGTCTCTGGAAAGCCCTGCATGGCCCCCGGTTTCCGGGTCGCTCTCGGGCGGTGCTGGGCGCTGGCGCGGTTTCTCGCGTGGGCCTCCGGGACGGCCCCCTCGCTCAGGAGGGCCACGAAACGGGCCACGAAGGCTCCGAGAGGCCGCCTAGACGGTTCAGGATGGCCCAGAATCGCCGAAAGATCGCTGCGAGACGCCCACGATGGCCTCCAGACGGCCCATGAGGCCTCGAAGACGCCCCAGGAGGCCTTCAATAGCACTCTCAAGAAAGCCCCAATAAGCAAACATCATTGATTGTCCTACGATGTTTGAATGGTTTAGTCGTTCTCGTCTCTTCGGCTTCCCGATGCTCCAATACGGCCCAAGAGGTCCCCAATCTCGCCCCAAGACAAACGAATAGTCTTCCAAGAGAGCCCCGAAACGGCCCAAGAGGGCCTCCAGACGGCCCACGAGGCCTTCGAGACGGCTCACGAGGTCCCCAAGACGGCGCCAAGAGGGGGCCCAGACGGGGGACCCTAACGCATAGTTCGAGCCCTCGGCCCCGAGAGGTCCCCAGGAGGCCCCAAGAGGCCCCCAAGAAGCCCCCAGGAGGCCCCGAGAAGCCCTCAAGAGGCCCCGAGAAGCCCCAAGAGGCCCCCAAGACGCCCCCAGGAGGCCCTCGTCAGGCCCCCAAGAGGCCCCAAAACTGCCCTCAAGAGGCCCCCGAGAGCGCTCCGAATAGATCCCAAACAGCATCCTCTGACGCACAGCCCAGGCACTGTGGCGGGATGGGCCGAAGGCCATCTGATAGACACCTCTCACATTGGGTTCGAGAAGATGGGGTCGGCGGAACGCGCCGCATCGCCGATGCATTGCCAACGTCGGCGACGCATTGGCGCCGTCGGCAAAGAGAATCGGGCCCTGCATCGAGCGGCATCGGCGATACATCGGCGATGCGGCGCGATCCTCCGACGCCTGTCTGCTCGGATCCCCTCTGGGAGGCCTCGCCCGGTGAAAAACGGAGAGGCGAGGAGGGATCCCACGCTCACGCCGTGGACGCCATGGACCCCTCCTGGAGGAACCAAAAATCAACATGAACACATTTTCGGGGGTCCGCGCGGATCTGGCGCGCGGAGCCCGCCCGGGGCGGCGCCGGAGGCGCGGCCGGGGGGGGGGGCCCAGCGCCGGCCCGAGAACTCCGCGCAGATCTCCGAAAGTTTGGGTTTCTGCCGTTGTTAGGGGGAAAACAAACCTACCTCGCTTTGGACCACCCTCGCTTCCAAGAGATACCAAGCGATGCCCAACTACGGCCTGTACTGGTCAAGCCGCTTGACGAGGAGGCGCGTGGTATGACTTGGTTTTGCCTGGAAGCGGAAGCGGGGTAGGTAATTCACGCTCTGAGTTGTGTCCCTCGATCTCGGGAGCTGCTGGACGTGCACCGCACGCGTGCCCGAGGTGCCCGCGGCATTCCCCCAAGGGAGGCCCCCGCGGCCTCCATGGAGGACCCCCCGCACGGGGCCCAGAGCCCCCCCTCCCCCTTCCTCCAGGGGCCCCCGAATGGAGCGCAAGGCTGGGGCACCTCGCGACGAACGAACAGCACACACCCACATCCATATGAGGGCGGGCGGGAGGGGCCATTGGCTGCGCATTGTCGGATGGGGCTCTCCGCTCGCAGGGGAGCCTTCCCCGAGGTCCGACAACCCGCACCCGCAAAACCGACAGGCAGTCCTCCTCCCTCCGATCCCCTGATGGGTATGGTATGGGTGTGTGTGTATATGTGTTGCACCTTTGTCACCTCGCGCCAGTGGAGGAGAAACAAACAAACGCATACACGTGAACTTTGGCGCTCCGCGCGGATTTCTCGGATCTGCGCTGGGGCCTCCCCCGGCGGCGACTCCGGCGCCGTCCCTGGCTCGCTCTGCGCGCCAGGGAGGGAGGTCCAGCTAGGATCCACGAAATCCGTGCGGAGCGCCACGAGTTTATGTCTGTGCCGGTCTTTCTTCTTCGAGTTCTTGCGCCACCTTGGGCCAGGGTTAGGTCGGGTGTGTTCCCCTACGGGCGGATTTTGGACGAAAACAAACAATACACCAAACATGCTCGTAAATAAAAGTAATCGTAGAATCGCCCCCTGACTATTCTTGGTTTATTCCTCCTCTAGAGGGACAGGCCCGACTTGAGGCCCGGGGCACCTCTCGCACCCCCCCCCCGCCGGCCCGAGCTCCTCGTCCGCGGGCAGGACGCGCGCGCGGCAGGCGAGGCAGCCGTCGCCCAGCGCCTCGCCCGAGCCGCGCTTCGCGCCCGCCGCGCGGCCCTCGGCGGCCGCGGGCCACCCCCCCGCGGGCAGCGGCGGCGGCTCGGCGGCCCGCGCGGCGCTGGCGCGCCGGGCCGCGGCCACCACCGCGGCCACGACGGCGCCCTCCGCGACGGCCGGGTCGGAGTGCTGGGCCTCGGGGTCAGAAGGCGAAGCCCAGACCCCCTCGCGGTGGGGCAAAAATCACGACGCGGGGATGTTCGCTGTTCTCGCCCTCTGGGGGCCCTCACCGGGCCTCGGGACCGTCGAAAACGAGTCGGGATGAAAAACGGGTCCCGGGGAATGGGTGCAGACCTTTGTCGGTCGCGTCGGGGGTCTCCCTACCGCTGCCTTTCCCTCGGCCTTCGCCTTTTTGGACCTCCCGGGAGGCCCTCGTCGCCACCGCTATGGTTCGCCTCGGAACTCTTGTGCCAGCGCACCCCGGGAGAGGTCCAGGGAGTGCTGGGCCTCGGAGAGGGGGTATGCCCAGACTTTTTGGTCTGCGGTCGCTTGGCTCAAGTAGCGTCCGAGTCACTAGAGCAGGCGCCGCGGAAGCACGATTCGAAGAAGACAAAGCGCTGTAAACATAAACTTTCGACGCTCCGCGCGGATTTCTTGGATCCGCACTGGGCCCTCCCGGCGGCGCCTCGGGCGCCGCCCTTGGCGCGCTCCGCGCGCCAGGGAGGGGGATCCAGCGCAGATCCAAGCAATCCGCGCGGAGCGCCAAAAGTTTATGTTTCTGCCGTGTTCTCTTTTTCTAAAGAGGGGATGCGGGAGGGTCTACCCACACGTACGCTCGAACCATGGACAAAAATCAGGGCGGGAAGCTGTTGGCCGTCTTGGGCCTCCTCTTCACACGGGGCCCCGAGGCCGTCAAGCAACGACTCCGGATAGAAAGCGGGCCTCCCTCGGAAAGGGGTCGGGACATCTGGAGACCCAGACTAGAATAGAAGCCTCCTAGGTGGGGTAGGGTCGGAGGATCGCGCCGCATCGCCGATGCATCGGTGATACATCGCCGACGCATCGGCGATGCATCGGCGACATCAGAGATGCATCGGCGACGTCGGCGTGGAGATAAACGGTCTCCAAATCGAGCTGCATCGGCGATGCATCGACTGTGTGGCGCGATCCTCTGATCCCATCTACTCCGACACCATCTGGGAGGCCTAGATTGAAAAAGTCAGGACACCGCACGTCTGGGTGCCAGCAACCTCAGGTCCTGGCGTCGCGATCCTGCCACGGCGGGCGTCGGCGCCCTGTGTTGTGTCCTGGGATCTCACATCGATGCGTCTCGAAAAATGGGGCAGGAAGATTGGGTCTGGGGCATCTTGCGATACTGCAGATCCTTCGGCATCGTCAGATCTCAAGACAGTGCAATGGCGCTGTCATCCCCCCCTCGGTGCCCTCGAGATCCCGCAAAGCGCGCCCCGAGAGAAGTCCAGAGAGCGGCGGTAACTGAGGAAAGCGAAAGGTACCGATACAGCTATTCCCAGACCTCTCCCAGAGTGCGTCCTGACCAGGATTTCGAAGCGAATCCAGCGGTGGCGACGAGGGCCTCCGAGGAGGCCCAGACATGGGAAACCCGAGGCAAGGGTGGCAATATGGGTACATTTTCCTCCTCCGGGTATTGGCACTTTTGTTTACCTCCCCAGGGCCCCTGCGGCGAAGGGGTGGCCGCCGCCGCTGACGAAGCCGCCGCCCGCCTCGTGCAGGAGCAGTTTCGCCACGGCCCCCACGTCGACGCCTTCGCCTTCGGCGCCGGCGGTCCGGGCACGCGCCCACGACTGTGTGCCCCGTGCGGTCTCTGGGCGCCGCGGCGCGCTCCCGTGAATACGCGATCCCATGAATTTTCCTGAGAGCCTGGCGTTGACTCTGTTTCAGAAAGGGCATCATTTCGGATTCATTGACGGGCCCCAGGACCTTCGACGATCCATCGGGCTCGAGGAAAATGGCGCAGAAAGATGGGGTCCGAGGCTCCGATCACAAGTTTCTGACATGTTGCAACTTTTCGCAACGTCGGATCGCAGGGTTGGACTTCCCAGAATGGGTGCGGGAGAAAACGGGCACGATTCTCAACCGCAAACAGCGTTGACCACAACCGACCGCGGCCACTCCTGGGCAGGCGACGTTTGTGTCAAACGGACAGCACCCGTGCGAAACCGACAATGTGCAAGATGGACAGGGACTGTTGCTGGTTTTCGTGTCCACTGTTTCCGTACTAAGAGGCCTCCTAGTTGGGTCGGAGCAGATGGGGTCGGGGGCTCGCGCCGCATCGCCGATGCACCGATACATCGGCCATGTATCGTCGACGTGGGCGAGGCATCGGCGACGTCGACGTGAAGGACATCGGGCTCCATATCGAGCCGCACCGGCGATCCATCGGCGGTGCGGCGCGATCCACCGACCCCCTCTGTACCCCGACCCCATCGGGGAGGCCTAGACGTACCCATGTCGGTCCCCCCGGGTGGACACTTCCCGCGTTTGGGGCAGCCGCGCAGCGCCGCCCCGCTCCCGCAGCAGGCCGCGGCACCGAGAGGACCCGGGACCGTGGGGCCGTTTCTAACCCGCCTTCGGTGGCAACTCCTGGGAGCCTCCCATACCATCTTGTCGGCTCTTGCGAATCGACGACGCATCGACGTTAAATCGACGCTAGCCGATGCTGAATCGACACTCGTCGACGCGTGCCGACGCTAAACGTCGGCGCTGTCTCATCCATTTTCAGGCGCCACTCGACGCTAGAGACGGAATCAGGGGGGTACACCAGGCTCCCATGATTTGCTATCGAACCCGCCCGCGAGTCGCCGGCGCGTCGGAGGCCGAGGTACCAATTGCCGCTGGGCAGGACGAACCGGTCCTCAGCTCGGGGAGGCGTCGGGCCTTTGCGGCTCGGGCAGGCCAGCCGACCCAGGGAGTGTTGGTGCTGGTGGTGGTGAGGTAAGACTTCCTGGGTGGCCTGAGTATCGGCCCGCAGCCGAGATCGAATGAGGTGGGCCTACAAGTTGCGAGTCACCACCATAGAGGTAGTGGTTGGTGTCAAATTGTAGGAATCAGCGAGCGAATGCGACAAGAAACCAGGAGATAAAAGGATCAACGGGCACATCCTTTTGTTTTGGAACTTGGCGAGGTGGCCCAGGGCTCTGCGGTCTAATCTGGCGACAAGAAATGATTGCGGGCCGCCCGTTGGGCAGGCCAGCCTTCTTTGGTTGGCATGGTGTGTATGGGCGCGTCGACCAGAAAAACAAATCACCAAATTCGAACGAACGTGACCACATAACTTGGCTCCACTCGAACGAAGGTCTGGACCCACCCACCCGCCCCTACTACCCTACCGTTCCCCTCCACACCCTCCCTTCCCACTCCGTTTCGACTGTGGTATGAGGAGACATATTACACATGTCTTCTCCGCCCGGTCCAGCGTGGCGAAAATGGTCGGCTTCTCCGACTGCAAAGTGTCGATGGCCCTCTGGTAGGCCTGCAGGTCCACGGCCGGCTTGCGCCTGTCCGGTGGGATGTCCACCAACATCACCTTCAGCTCCTTGGTCCGGAATATTATGTATATATATACACGTATATCTATATACACGTGTATACATAGTTGTCTAGATATGTGTGTATGGCCACACATGCCTTACAATAGAGATCGGGGCACATGTTTATATGTATCTATAGACTCGTGCATATATGTATGCGTACAAATGTACGCATACATGTCATACATCGATATATCTATATATGCATATGTGGCGGATCCCGGAAGCCCTGAACCCAAACATGTGTTCATCTTTGGGGGCGCATATTTTACTTCCACCGCCTGCCGCCAGCCTTCCTTTTTGTTGTAAGCACTGCGCCCAACTACCTTCGGGACGGACGCTTCGTGAGGGGCCAAAAATCAAAACCTACCGAAATCGGCCCATCTAAAATACTATGATTCAGACGAGAAGGCCCGAGACGAGGGGCGCGAGCACAGGACAAGAGCAGCCCTGGCCCCGCCCTCAGGCGGCACTGCGAGAGCGGCACCTCGACTCCCTCTGGGGTCTCGGGGGCCACTCAACCCAACAAGTTTTCAAAGCCCGGAGGCGGGGACAGGACGGGTCCACGAGGGAGGGGGAGGGCGAGGGCAGCGGCGGCGGCAGCGGGCGGGGTCTCACTGAACACCCATGAGCACAGCGACGAACGAGTCCCACCCTACAGCCCCCAGCACGTCGAGGTAGCATACGTGTCCGTCCTCGGCCGCACGCATTCACGATGATACTTTTGCACGAGAGGTCGTCAGCGGTGGTGCTGTAGGCCCATCAGCGCTGGTAAAAGATGTGCGCTGACGCTTGAATATTTCAGCGATCGATGGCTGGGCTTGCTGGAGGCGAGCCCGTCTGACTGGCAAAACTGTGGCGACGACGAACCTGGCAGAACCAGGATTTTGTGCCTATACTCGGTCTTGGGCTTCTTGATGATCGCCTCGGCGGCGAGCGGCTCCTCGAGCTCGTCGTCCTGCTTCAGGGGGGGAGATCTGCTGGATGGAGAGCTCGGGCGTGTCCTCGTGTACGTGCACCGCCGTCAGAGCGCACTTGAGATCGATGTGGATGGTCGGTGCCCAGATCCAGCGCACTTGGTTTTTTTCTCGATGCGGTAGCTGGTGCCGTCGGCGAGGCACTCGGCTGAGGTGCCCATGAACTTCTTGAGAGCGTCCGCGGCCATGTCCTAGCTCACCTTCTGATGGCTGCGGACGACCTTGGTGGTCACCGCGTCGATCTGGGTCGAGATGGGCACCTCGGCTTGCTGCTCCGCCTGGTCGGGTTGAGCGGGGTCTTCCACGATCTACAGCACCTCGGCCTTGCGAAGGGCGATCATCCAGAGGGTCGTGACATCCTGCAGTCCGTGAGGGGTCCCGCGCGCGGGTTTGGTCACTGTGGTCTCGTAGCCGTGCTCTAGAGTCGTCTCGAGCTCCGATCCCTCCGCCACCGTCAGCGTGAAGTTGTCGTCGCGGGCGGGCAGCTGGTGGGCGGCTTCGTGGAGGAGCTTCAGGCGGCACCTGAGGGTCTGGAGCTTGCCGTTTGCATCCAACTCGGCCGTGTCCTCGGGGAGGACCAGGTCGATCTTCGGCTTCTTCCACTGCTTCGCGCTCTTGAGGTCCCACATGAGCGTCCGACTCTTGCCGCTGGGCAGGAGGGGCAGGTCCTGGTGGTTCGGGTCCCGCTGGCTCACTCGCTTGAGCCGAGGTGGACGACGGTGGGGCACGGCAGCGCTGCAAGCGATAGTGACGGACCAGGGTCTCCCTGCGACTGAACTTGATCAAGCAGTGGGGCACTTCAGGGCTCGCAGCCGGTCCTCTGTGAGGCCCGTAGGGTTCGCATACTTGCCGTGCACGCTGAACATACGGTTGTCGAGTCCCTTGGGTCCCTGACACTTCCGAGCACGCAAGGGGGCACTGGGGCAGGGTCTCAGGCGGGGGGGCCCCGCCCGCAGCTACCTTCGCCTCGTCCTCCGTCACGTTACTTCGCACCCGTCTGAGGCGCGCTCGAGGGGCCTGACTGAGCCAGCGGGGCCAAGGGCGAGAGGGTACAGGTTCAGGGTCCTCAAGTTCGTGCTCCGCACGGGCCTGCTGCTGGGCTTCTGGGATGGTGACCTTCCAGAGCTTCCTGGGGTCCTCCTGGGGTACGCCGAGCAGCGAGTTGATTTCCTTATGATTGGGCCCCTCGAAGTTAAACCTGCCGAAGACTACTGCCCGAATCAGCTTCGCGGGGTCGTGCTGGCCTCGGGGCCCTCAGGGTCCTGATCGGAGTCCTCGGGCTGCTTTTTCTGCGGTGAGTCGGGGAACGCGGGACGTAGGGCTCCCTGCCACCACGCTAGGCGCCGCTCAAGCAACGTAGACGCCACTGTCGTGGCTCGTGTTGTATGCCTTACTTCGGCATCACTCACGTGATGGACATGGGCAGGAGAGCGTCCAAGCAGCGTAGCTTACGAGTCTGCCAGTGCTCTATGCGGTTGAGGTCTCTCTGACCCAGGACTGCCACCTCGAGGCCGCACAGGGCTGTCGAACGGACCAGGGAGCACCACAGCCCAACCCGAAGACGTACACTAAAGTGATCATTGAAGGCTCGACGTGCAAGGCGTGCGTGTGCTGCATTAGCTCCTTGAATTATGTGAGTAACCTCCTCCACCATGCTGCCATCGTCGCGCTGCTTGGTGCCCAGGTACTTCACACTGGGCGTGGCATGGACTGGGGTCTGCTGAATTCGAATGTCTGTTCGCTTCGATCAGATCGTGGCTCGTCTGATTCTGCTTTGCTTGTAAGTCGTGGCGATCCACATGTCCGTTTTGGCGTCAATTACCTTCATCTTGCCCTTAGTGATTTCCGTTTTGAGGAACCCCAGGAACCGAGAGACTGCATCGAAATCTTCAACGATCGTGAGGGCAATCAGGTCGTCGACGAATTTGACAGGGGACACCGTGAGCACCTCCACCCCTTCTCCTCCCAACAGCCCGTGACGGTGACGAAGGTTGCGAAGGGCGGGGTCGAAGGTGACGGTGATCTCGGGGAACTCTGAGTCATGCTCACTTTGCTCAAGCTTACGAGTGAGAAGGTCATAGACAGCAACGAACAGCATAGGGCCCTCCACACTACCCTGGCGCACTCCGCGTGGAATGAGTAGCTTGCGGGTGGGGCGATTGGTGCGGATGTCCTTGGCAATGTAGCATGTGCCCTCGTGGGGCCCCTCAACTGTCAGTCGCACTTCCCGTCGTGCCGTAAGCGCTTCGAGGGCCTGCCAAATCTCATCGCGGTCAATCAAGTCGAAGGCCTTTTCCAGATCGATCAGGACCGCCACGAGCATGCCTGGGGCCGTCGCAGAGCCGAGCCTGGACGCGCGGCCGTGGAGTCGGTAGCGTCGGATAACCTCGGCCACGATCGCAATGGCGCCCCTCGTAGAGCGGCCTGCCAGCGCGCCGAACTGCGCGTGAGAAAGCTTGCTCGCCAGGTTGCGGAGGGAAAGCATCACGGTGACGTTCATGTAAACCTTGCCAATGTGGCTGATGAGGCTGATGGTCCTGTAGTGGCCCTTGGCGTTCTTGCCGTCACCCTTGGGCTTGCGTAGGGAGACAGTCTCGCCGCCCTTGAAGCGCTGAGCCGCGTGGCCGAGGGCCTGGCACGCCTGGGGGGCGCCGCGGGGTGCAGGGGCCGTCTCAGCGGCGCAGAGCTTCCACAGCTCGATGACGGACCCGTCAGCCTCGAAAGTCGGTTTGGCACCAGTGTCGGTGAGATCTCTGGTCGCGTCCAGCGGTGGCAGCTTGAGGACAGGAGCGCTCTTGTAGTTAGGCATTTTGACAATGGCCCTGGTCGCGTCATCGACTGTGTATGTGCCTACGCGGGCGTCGCCCCTCGGGAGGGTGCCGACGGGGCCTCCTGGGCTGCCCATGTTGATCTGGATGCCGTCGACGATGTTGCAGAGAGCACCTGCGCGGACAGCAGCCCCCTCCTCGGCGCCCATGCGTGCACCGCCCGTGGTCGGATTGGTGACCGTGATGACTGGGGCCGCGGGCTTTGGGGCAAGACGGCGCGCGACGCTGTGGAGCTCGCGCAGGTTCACGTTCGCATCTGCCGCCCCCGCCTCTGCAGCCGTGGACGCCAGGCGCTGTCGTCGCTCAGCTCGGGCAGCCTTGGTGGCGCGCTTGGCCGCCTCGTCACACTGGGCCTGGAGGTAGACAGCGCGGGGCGACGATGGGTCGGAGCTATGGGCCATGCGCTTCTGGATGGCGTGCTTGTTTGCGATCAGGGCCAGGGTGGCGTCCGTCAGCCCGGGGCGCTGGGTCTGCGCGGGCTTCAGGACGTAGTGCGGGGCCGCTGCCTCAATAACCGCGTGCTCGATGGCGTTGAAGTGCTCCGAGGGCGCGGCGTAACAGAGCATCTCGCCGCATTCCTCCTGCCAGTGGCCTGTGAGCTGTTGCCCTCGTAGACGGTTGTCCAGAGTTGCCCGCGTCTGCGCGACGTGGGCTGGGACGGCCGCATCTGGGTCCTTCAGGGCTTGCAGGTCGCGCACCATGGCCTCGCGGTTCCATCGGTCAGGTCAGGGTTCGGCAGCCCGCTTTGCTCTCAGTCCAGCACGCGCGAGGGCTTCGGCAGGTCGGTGGTCGCGGTAGCCCCCAAAGCTAACAAGAGTGGGGCCGCTCTGGTGCCGTAGGGGCCGTTCAGGCGGGTGCAAATGTTGTCTAGTGTGGTCCATGCCTTGCCAGTCGCGTGCTGCCAGGCGCCGTTCTGTCGCGTGCTCTTGCCGAACGTGTCGAGGGCCGTCATGTGGGAGTCCTCTAGGACTTCCAGGAGGCGCGAGCCGTTGGTGCTGGTGGCTGCATACTGGCGTCGTTGTCCAGCGAAGCCGACGTACGGCAGTGAGGGGGACATGGCAGCGTTGGCGCCCAGGGTGAGGAGCAATGCCACTTGCTGGGGGACCTGACGGAGGGCCACGTGGCACGTGTCCCAGAACTGGGACTGGAGCTGGCGATGTTGGGCCGTCTTCTCATGATGGTCGGTGCCGATCTTGGCGT